AGAGAAATGACTTTGCAGTTATTAGTTCCTTTGGGCCCAAAAAGAGACGTTATATAAATAAAATAAATTCTTTTTATCCACGAGAACAGTATGTAGAGCTCCATTACACAAAGATGAACACATATAAAGGTCTGAAGTATGTAAATATTTACTCGACACATTATTATTATTATAACCTTTATTTAACCATGCAAAAAAAAAAATTAAGAAAGAAATTAAAGAGATTAAAAATGTATATTTCAAGAGCATGTTTTTAATTTTTTAAATTTTATATACATATACTATTTTCATAAATATTCTCCACAATTCCTAAACAACACAAGGGTTAATCTGTTAATCAGTCACAACATCTACAGTTTTTTCCACAAAACATTAAAAGTATAATCATGAGATACTGGAGACATGTGAGAAGGGAGCATCCTGGTAATGTTTCTGAAGCTTGTATACAGGGGTTCAGACACTAAGCAAAGAGTATACTTGTATTTGAAGTACAAACAAACAAATTGTCTAGACGAATACAACAAATAAATAAAGTACATGCAATCTACAGTATTTCTAACCTCCATACAGAAAACCCTAAGAGCTAAACTACCCAGTGGTCCCAAGAAATTCAGTCTAGCTTTGGTTAAATATGTGAAATCCAATAGAAACATTTAGCAAATGGAAATAACAGAACAGTTTAAATGGATAATAAGAATACTAGTTTAGTCCCCGGCCTTTAGAGAATCAAGCTCCAACATGTTTTAGTGATAACTGCTGTTTTAAGCTCTTCTTGAGAGTTAAAAGAGAAAAATACATTTTATAGTCTCATCAGTTTCTTTATGATTTTAACCACTATAAGATGCTTTTTCCTCGTCTTCTATGTGAACAAGGTGGAGTGAATCTGAGTAAGAGTCTGTCGCTGAGCATGCAGATAAAGAAAAGCTGTGGCAGACAGGCTCAGGTCCATGAAACAGCAGGTAAAAGTCTGCAGTTTCACAGGGTAACCGGGGAAGCGCTGCACCAGACGGCGTCGCGGTCATTTAGGCGAGGCTCACATAAAGACTGGTATAAAGTTATGAGTGCTTTAAATGGAAAAGGAAAAGTTTCACCAACATATTTGGACATTTTGTCCGTCAGTTCATCAAAATTCAGCCTCATGAATGAAGTGGACTTCGGTCTACAGGTGGATAAAGCAGATTAACCGACCCGAGCAGCAGGAGCAGTGCAGCAGGCCTCCGTCTGACTATTTCACCTTTATATTTGAGTATTCACACAAATCCTCTCCCCCTGTAATGTTTCCTCTGTCATTCTTTCATGACTTGCGACTGTTTCTTCCACATCTATATATTTATTTTTCTATAATATGTCAACTGCATGTTTATGTCCACGTAGCTCCTCATCACCAAGTCAAACTGCTCGTGCATGGTGCGTAGTAAACTTTGCACTAAAGCTCTTTCTGCTTCCAAGATGTTTGTACGGAGAGTCTGAGGCCTGCAGAGACACAAAGAGCTGATGGGAGGTTCAGCGGCTTTGATTTTGCATTTGAACACGAGTTTCGTTTGTTCAACATGCAAAACAGGTTTTAAATCTAACAGGCTGGACAGAATTAAAGCAGCGTTGTGGAGAAACGTGATGTAACTGGAATCTGTTACAGACACTGATCATGATCACACCGGGGTTATATGTGGAATAATAATTCATTTTATTGCTTTGCATGTTTTTCACAGTAAAGTCTGCTGCTGTTCTTCTGATTGGTTCTGTTTAGAAAATGATTAACAGCTGAAAAAGTTTCATTAGAGATTTAGGAAACTAATAAAAAAGTAATTAAATGTAATAAGTTACGTTACTTTGATAAATTAATTGAAATATTTAAAGTACTTTTACATTTTAAATCTGTGTAACTTCCAAACCTGATTAGAAGCTGCTGTGGCTGTTAAATTAGTGTTTGTTCATTATTTTCTCATCAAACTGATAAAATTACTTAAACAAAGACAATAAAGTAACATGAGATGAGTTCTGACGCCTGTTCAGATTTCATGGTGATGTTCTCTCTCTTCACCAGCAGGCGGCGCCCTCTGCCTCCACGCCAGCCTCACAGCTGATCAGAGGATTTAATCAGCTCAGACTACCGTTTGCAATGCATGCTGGGAAGCTGTGCAGATAGTCACAGATCACCTGACCCTGGTCTGAGGGACCAACAGTTATCAGTGAGTTCCACAGATCATCGACCGGAGCTGAACTGTTGTTGTTGCCTCTTAGAGGAGATAACGTCTCTGCGGTCTCTGCTTTATATCCTGCGTCAGCGAGATTAAAGATTAGAGAGGAGGTATGGCAGGAAGTGATGTCACATGTTGGCCGAGCTTCAGTCAAGATTAAGAAAACGTGGGAACATTTCTACCTGTTGTTTTTATTTGTCCTGTTATGACGACCGCGTCCAGAAAAATACCTGCTTCATTTATTTGTAATTGTAGAAGAATCTCCACCAGGCTGCACCTGAAGAAACGTCTCCGCCGCACCACAACTAAAAGACGCGTCAAAAGAGGAAGTGAACGTGACCGAAAAACCCAGAACATGAAAACCCGCTCACCTGGAAACTCCTCTGGTTCCTGTTCAGGTGCAAAGACGGGAAGAAAGGAAACTTTCAAACCTTAAAGAGCAACAAACACCGACAGGAAGTCCAAAGTAAAAGCCTCCGTGTGTCAGCTCACCTGTCCAAACAGTCCACTGACTCTCAGCACTGCGTTGTCCCGATGACCCTGAAGTAAACACAACTGAGTCCACTGACCCTCAGCTCTGCGTTGTCCCGAAAACCCTGAAGTAAACACAGCTGAGTCCACTGACCCTCAGCGCTGTGTTGTCCCGATGACCCTGAAGTAAACACAGCTGAGTCCACTGACCCTCAGCGCTGTGTTGTCCCGATGACCCTGAAGTAAACACAGCTGAGTCCACTGACCCTCAGCGCTGTGTTGTCCCGATGACCCTGAAGTAAACACAGCTAAGTCCACTGACACTCAGCGGCGTGTTGTCCTGATGACCCTGAAGTAAACACAGCTGAGTCCACTGACACTCAGCGGCGTGTTGTCCCGATGACCCTGAAGTAAACACAGCTGTGAGCAGGTCGGGGTCAGAGGTCACAGAGCTGAACAGGGTGAACACGGGACTCATTATTGACGGTTTCTTCCTGTGAATCAGCTGCTGATCAGATTACTGATCGATCTGAAGAGCGTTGTGATGTCTGAGCGAGTCAGAGGCGCCTGAACTCAACACCAGACAGAAGTTCTTCTGTTTCAGTGTGAAGAAACACAGACAGACGTGCGAGTCGACTGTTTCCAAGTCTGGACCAGGGGCCCCGGACCTCTCAGGGCCCCGGACCTCTCAGGGCCCCGGACCTCTCAGGGCCCCGGACCTCTCAGGGCCCCTGACCTCTCAGGGCCCCGGACCTCTCAGGGCCCCTGACCTCTCAGGGCCCCTGACCTCTCAGGGCCCCGGACCTCTCAGGGCCCCTGGTAGGCCCCTTCAGTAATCAGTCCATGAGAGTAACTGAACGCATGATGTCATGTAGTGCAGTAAAAGTAACTCAGAGGGTTTTTTAAACTGGCGGCGCGTTCAGTGATGTCACAGTGATGTCACAGCTCTGCCTATCAGTGTCCTCCTGGTGGAGGGTGTGACCTCATGAGCCGCAGTAAACAGGAAGTTTATCAGAGTGTTATCTCTGTGTGAAGCCATTCAAACGTTCATTCCTCACATCCTGCCGCTCGCTCTTTAAAAGCTGCTCGATCTTTTGAACTCCTACAAACTGCTGATCGGGTTTCAGTCAGTTACACATTTTCCCCCTGAAGACTCTGCACTTCAGTTTCATCTGTTCACTAGTTGCTCTACGTATCATCAGGTTTTTAGGATAAAGAGCAGCAGCCGAGCCGTCAGCGGGACGCTGAGGGCTGATTTGTTCAAATGTTCTGAAGAATTTCTCGCACAAAGAAATTTGCACAGAAGGAAAACAAAGTTCAGCTCTAAGAAACTAAACAAGCAGCTGATTGTATTTTTATATTTATGAATTGTCAGCTGCCAGCTGAACCTCTTATTTCTCTCTTTGTATAAATAAAAACGTTTGTGTCTCCAGGCGGCAGGAGATGAAGTGTTTAATGCCCGCAGCCCCCCCGCTCAGACAGCGTTTGTTAGATTTACAACAAGAAAAACACGTTCATCAATCTGCGGAGTTAAATTGTGGAATAAACTAAATGAAAGAAATTATTTTCAAGAGGCTCTGTGGTAAAAGCAGGAGCGCTCCTTTGTTGCTGTTTGAATGAGCTTAGATAAATAAAGACGGGGACTTTGCTGCTCATCTGTTGTTTTTAAACATCGTTTTATTTGTTTTTACTTTCTCTTGCATGTTCGAAACAAAGATTTTGCATCGTCCCGCCGCTGATCGGATCCCTGACGACACCGTTCACCACCGAGTGACGCCCTTCCTGTTGACTTTAACCTTCTTTGGATGCAAACGATGGAACCAGATCATCGTCTTGTTGCTGCTGTTTACATTCAGCCTGGTGTCTGAATCCAGTCTGTTGTTTTAGTTTAAAAACACATTTCATTATCTTATCATCATCGTTCAGCCTCGTAAATCCCCCTGAACCGGTTCCTTCAGGTGAACTTCCTGTTGGATTCCGGCGAACAGCTGATGTTTACCGTGTGCGCGTCCAGCTGACAGCTGACGTGTCAGGTGGCTGAAACCAGTTTGAGCTTCAGGTCATGTTTCCAGGGGAATTCCACCTGTGCGTTCCAGGAAGCTCAAACATTTCTGAAATGAACCTGCTCTTCTTCTTCTTCTTCTGTCTCGTACTGCACGCACCGTCGTTAACTCTTCATTTACCCCTCTGATGCGGTCGATCAGCTCTCACTACCGTCCGTTGATCTCTTACTCGGTTTTTCCTCAAATGTCAGTCGCTTTGGATAAAAGTGTAAAGATGTAAACTGGTGTAGAAATGTGTTTGACCTTAGTGATGTCACAGACACGGCGATAATGTCAGCATGTTTTATTACTGTAGAGAAGAGAGTGCTGATGACATCACAGCGCTATATGACAGAAGCCCCGCCCCCCCAAACAAACTGTCACACAGCTTCATTAAAAAGCACCAATCACTGCTGACTGCGGAGTCACGTGACCCGTCTGCTACGAGGCTGCAGGATGCTTCGGCCCAAGGCATTTTGGGAAACAAAAGATTCTGTTTTTGCCCTGAACCAAGTCTCGCAGGTGGTCAGCCTGCGAGACTAGACTCAGGGCAAACTATGTTTTGAATGTTTTGTGTCTGTTAAACTTTCAGGAGGTTTTAAAGTGCGTCTCTATGGACTCGGCTATTGTGACTGCAGGAAGTGATGCGAGCAGCCTGCAGCCTGGACAGGAAGTAGATCTCTGTAGTTCAGCAGTTTCACAGGAAAAACAGAAGAAGAAAAGGTCATAATGCACCCGGAGAATCTGATCCATGAAGAAATAATAAAACCTGGCTCGTTAAAATAAAGACTACTTTATATTAGACTATTTATACATTAGCTCCGCCCACCCGACTCCATGGCCCCGCCCCTTCTCCTCCAGTCAGGATCAGCTGATGAAATGCATTCTGGGATATGTAGGTCTGCATGAATCAAGCTGCACCAAATCAAATAAATGAGTTCTAATCAGCAATCAATATTTCTACTAAACAAACGACTTAAAATAACGAATCAGGAGAGGATCTGATTGGTCGACTTTAAAATGCAAATCAAAGAGTCCTAAAGTTCGAGGTGACGTCAGAAAACCTTGTGAGTCAAGAGTGGAGACACGAGGTTTCCCCCCCACGCAGACGGCCGACTCGGCGTACCGATCGGTTCGTTCCTGGTCCTGATTGGAGGAGAGCGGCGGGTAGCGGCTCGGCGTGGTGATGTCACAGGAAGAAGGCGGCGATGGTTAGACTGTTGCGTTCGTGTGCGCTGATCAGCGATAATAAAGTGACTCACAGAAGAGAGGAGAAGAAGAAGAAGGAGCATCCATCATCATCGCCGTCACATCTGGAAGAAAAAAAAACAAACATTATTACTGTGCTCTGATTCGCTGTCGGAAATATTCATGTGAAGTCGAAACAACACGGGCTGCCGAGTCGCTGACACGTAGAAAGATGGCGGACGGCGATGGTTAAGGGGTCTGACCCCCCTAATTAAGGCTTGGACCCCCCAAAGGAGGCAACAACAACAGATGAGTTTACTTTCGTACCCGTCACCGTAAATATTACAGTATATTTCCCATATTCGGGCCTAAAATGGACCAGACGTTAGTTGAACGTCTGTCCGCATCACTCGCAGCAGCAGGTTGATGTCGGCAGTCTGGCTTCTCTTGTTAAAGTATATTATATTAGTATCGTATATCAGCATATTGTGTTTGTTTTTATCTCCCCCTGCCATGTCAGCTGTTCTCAGTGTATGCAGGTAACAGAGAACAGGTGGACACGCTGGATTGGTCCTGCAGAGCTGATTGGAGTCTCCTGATTGGTCACCTGGATGACAGCAGCCATCTTAAGCCGCACTGACAGGAACTCTTCTCTGTCTCGGCCGTTCCCAACCTGCCACACCTGTATGTTACATCCAGGACACCTGGGGACGTAACACTAGCAACAAATCATAACAAAAGGCTTCTCACGGCACTCTGACATCATTTACAGAGACCCAAGAATCCCCAAGTCCCCAAACTGCTTTGTTGAACGCACATTACGTTTCTTTCACAGTGAACACGCGTTTAGCTCCTCCCTCTCCCTCGCCACGCAGCCCCGCCCCTCTCTCAACGTCATTACTTTACAAGTCGCGACACGGTGGATATTTTTCTAGCGGACCAGTCAGATGTTACTCGTAAGCGACCGCGTCGGTTTTCTTTTGAAAGGCTCCATCATCAACATGCAGCGCCGCTGCTGCTGCGAACGGGTTCAGAAGACGAGTATAAAAGTTTCCTGTAATTCCACAGGCAGACGTTAAAATGGTCAAAGTTACTGGGCGCTCCCACAGCTTTCACAGCACCAGCAAGATTTGAGTGGTTTCAGGTAAAGGGACAGAAGCGGCCTATCAGGGCTGACCACCTGGGAACTGAGGTACGTTACGTGGGCTGACATTTGAATCATGTCTGAATTATACTGAGTTAGAAAAATAATGGTTAATGACTAAAACTAGACTCAAATACTTTGCTTTTGACCAAAATCCTAAAAAAATAATAATAGTATACTGAGGACTAAATATGACAAAAACAGGACGTCTGACTCACGACTGAGACTAAACGCTAGTTTGAGACGAGTCACATGTGAAAATGCACCTGTGGTGGATTTTGAGAAGCAAATCTCAAAGACGCGTTCAGACCCGTGCGTTCAGATCCTGACTTCCTGCATTTTACAGCCCGTCAAAGTGTCTCTGATCTGCCAGCAGCCGCTACGCCGCCCGAACGTCACCTCATGTGTTCCGTCAACAAAGCCTGAAGAAGAGAGTCCTTCTGGTTCCGGTCCTGGACCGTGGCGGATCAAACGCTCCAAAGTTTGGCTCAGCTCAACTAACAAACTGCAGCAGCTGCAGTAAGGAGGTTCGGTGCGAGGGAGGAAGCGTTTCCTTCAACACGGCGTGAATCTGACGTGTCGCGCTCAAAGCTGTCAGAGAGCAGCGCGAGGTCTTTATTAGCAGCGAGGGACGCACACGCTGCTGCTACGCTAACGTTAGCTGACGTTTTGCTACACGACCACACAAACTGAACCACCTCAGACCCGGTTCGGACCGAGCGGACTCACCTGCTCCGGAGCCCTGTGCAGCCATTTCTCTTTGTCTCCGCCCAGCTTCAGGCAGGAGAACAGGTCACAGACGGTGGGCAGCGCCAGACGCTCCTACACACAGGAAACAGGAAACAGTCAGAACCAACAGGGTCGAGGCCGGACGGCGGCTGTGAGCAACTTGTGTGCTGGTCTCTGCCGGACTCAGCTGGTCCCGTTACCTGAGCCTGACTCCTCTTCTTCAGCAGCCATTTGTCCTCCTCGGGTTCTGGGCCGGGCTGACCTCCTGACCCCGGAGCAGGAGGAGGCGTCTGTCCTGGAAACACCCAGAGTCCTGGATCCGGAGGGCACTGGAACAGAGACGAGGAGGAGGAGGAGGAAGGCTTGAAGCGGGAGCTGTGCTCCTCCCTGCTGGCCTTCTCCTCCTCCGGAGCCAACCAGCCGGAGAGGGAGGAGGTGAGAGTCTGCAGAGGAGCCCTGCAGGAGGAGGTGTTGGACGGGTGGAGCCAGGCCTCCAGGATGGCCTGAACCTGAGGGGGACCAGGAGAGTCAGCGTCCTGTCACTTCATGGATCACATCAACAAACCTGAGGTGACGGAAACAAACTCACCTTCTGCTCCTGCTCCCTGAGGCGCAGGGTGGGCGGGGCACTCTTAGTGGCGGGCGTGGCGTTCTTGTCGGCGGGCGTGGCGTTCTTGTCGGCGAGCGTGGCGTTCTTGTCGACCGGGACTCCGTTCTTGTCTCGCCCGTCCTGCCGGAGCAGCCAGAGGCTCAGCGCTTCCTTCCCACAGTTCTCCTCGCAGACGCAGTCGGCGTAGGTGAAGCAGACCTCGTTGGCCCGGCAGTTCTGCTGCACCGGAACCACCTGCTGCAGCCACGCCTCCAGGCCCGCCGGGGAGCCGGGGCTGGAGGCGTGGCTGGAGGCGGGGCTGGAGGTGGGCGGGGTCTTGAGGCACTTGAGCCGGCCCAGGTTCTCGATCTCCACGGCCTTGGTGGTCTGGCAGCAGGAGGAGCAGTCTGCGGGGGGGCGGCTCGACCCCGCCAGCCAATCACTGGTCGACCATCTGTCCTCAAACGGCTTCAACACCAGACGCCACCGCTCGGCGTCTGACATGGTCTCCATGGCAACAGTAGGCGGAGTGATGAGCCAGTCGCTCAGCTCCTCCTCCTCTTCCTCCTCCTCCTCCTCCTCCTCCGAGGAGACGGTGAACTCTGATTCGTCGATCTTCTCGATGGAGAAGGAGGAGCTGCAGCTGCTGCTGGTCCTGTCCCTTCTGACGGGGGTCTGGTCTGGGAGGAGCCACGCCTCCAGGTCCCTGAGCTGACCCCAGGCCTGCAGGAAGTCCACCGAGGCCAGGACCGGACAGGAAGTCTAACACAAACACACAGGAAGTCATGTGATCAACAGGAACAACATGGAGGGTTGAGACATGACAAGAACGCCGCTATTGTTTAAGGACTTAAGACTCTGGGTCCACTTCCTGTCCACGGGGTCCTGGACCAGTTAGAAGTGGACCCATATAGACCGGTCATCAACGGGTCTGGACTCACATAATCGTCTCTAAAGAGGCGTCCTCGGACTCGCCGTCTCACCTTGCTCTCCTTGTGTGGGATCAGCCAATCCTCAGGGTTCCCGCTGGGCTGGTAGCCAATAGGAGCGCTGCTTGCTGGACGGGCTCCCAGCAGCCAGTGGTCCAGAGCGGCGGCATCCATCTTCTGCAGGGACACGAGAGAGCGTGTGATCATGTGACACACAGAGCGCCTTCACTAAACATCCCCACAACACCTGATCAAACCTTGCCGCTCTGAGTTACCTGTCTCTTGGCAGCGATTGGACAACTCTGCACCTGATCTCTCAGGTGGGCGGGGCTCTGCGAGGACACGCCCTCCACGAGCTGCAAACAGGAAGTAGAGAAAACACCTGATCAGTATCCCGCCTTAAGGGGTGTGTGTCTGTGTGCGTGTCAGCGTGTGCGTCACCTGAGCAGTGATGCTGCCGAACGTGGTGATGGCGTGCCTCAGAGAGCGAGTGTCGGCGTGGAAACTCATGTCAGGTGTTTCCTCTGGTGTCAGGCTCAGAGAGGAGAACCTGCAAACACAGGAGGAAACAAACACACCCAGTTACAGCTACAGCAGACTCCGCCTCCTCCATCACGTCGGGATGCGTTCAGGGTGTTTAGTTTTTAATCGTTGTGTTCTGGGTTTAACCTTTTTAGAGGCAGAATAATTGACCTGATGATGAAGAGCCTCCTGTCTCACATTTAGACTTCCTGTTTCAGCTTCAACACGCCGCCGTCACCAACTCAACACATTTAAAGTCCGAGCTCGCTCCTCTGTAATAATGGTGAGTTCTGTACATGTGACTGGGGCTTCTGTAAAGAAGTCTGCGTCCCTCCTCGGGTCCAGAGACCAGACGAGGAGACTCCGTCCTGACTCAACACGTCGGAGACTCATTATAGGAACAGAAACAGTTGTTTACTGACGGCGCCGGCTCGGAGTCAGGAGGTCGAGTCTGAACGTGTTTCAGTCTAAAACTGTTTTCCTCCCCCAACAACTACCACAGAGGAGGAGGAGGAGGAGGAGGAGCGGCGACTTCAGTACAGACACCTAACTGAGCTGCAGTGTGTATGTGCGTTCTTGTACTTGCTACATAGTGAGGACCATGTGTTTAACCAACCGAGTGAGGACATCTTGGGCCGGTCCTCACAACGTCAAAGGGATGTTTGGAAGTTCAGACTTGGTTTTCAGGGTTAGGGTAGAATTTGGTTTAGGTCAGGCTCAGCATTGTAGTTGTGATGGTTAAGGTTAGGGTGAGGGTCCAGGGAATGCATTATGTCAACAGTGGTCCTCACAAAGATAGAAGAACAAGGATGTGTGTGTGTGTATTTACTTCTCCATGCAGCTGGTCAGCTGGTTGTTCAGGTCGTTGCTGTTGTTGGAGTTCTGCATCTGATGGACGATCACGTCAAACTGACCTCGGAGCTGAAACACACAGAGTGAACGTCACACACACAGTAAACATCACCACCCCCAGTCCTCCCAGTCCTCCCAGTCCACAGCAGTTACCCAGTGCAGTCTGTGCAGCTGCTGCTGCAGAGTTTCTGTCTTCAGTTGCTCCAGCAGCTCGATCTGACCCAGCAGCCAAACCTCTCTGCAGCGCAGCGCCTCCTGCTGACGGCTCACACTGCTCTGCAGCTCGCCACGCACCTGAGAGAGAGAGAGAGGTTGTTACATTCATGCCAATAAAGCTAATTTGAATTGAGAGGTGAGACAGAGAGAGAGAGACAGACAGACAGAGAGAGAGACAGAGAGAGAGAGACAGAGACAAACAGAGACAGAGAGAGACAGACAGAGAGAGAGACAGACAGAGAGAGAGACAGACAGAGAGAGAGAGACACAGACAGACAGACAGAGAGAGACAGACAGAGAGAGACAGAGACAGACAGAGAGAGACAGAGAGAGACAGAGAGAGACAGAGAGACAGACAGAGAGAGACAGAGACAGACAGACAGACAGAGAGAGACAGAGAGAGAGAGAGACAGACAGACAGAGAGAGAGAGAGAGAGACAGACAGAGAGACAGAGAGAGACAGACAGAGAGAGAGACAGACAGACAGACAGAGAGAGAGAGAGAGAGACAGACAGAGAGAGACAGAGAGAGACAGAGAGGGAGACAGAGAGACAGACAAAGACAGAGACATCTCTTCAAAATAAAAGCTCCCGGTCAGGAAACAAGGCAAAGACGTTGGTAACGTTTCTAGTTTTGTACTCTGACCACACACAGATCATTATTATATTTGGACTGAATATTCAGAACTTAATTTTCCTATAATCAACAGACACACAAACAGACAATGTGGCCTTTGTGCTAAAGATACGCTGTAATTTAATTCAAATAACACTCAGCTGTACCTGAGGCTGCACAGAGGAGCAGAACCCAGCAGAGTCCAGCAGAGTCCAGCAGAGTCCAGCAGAGCGGCGGAGACGGAGCTGGTCTCAGTCTGTCAGTGAAGTGAGCTCTGCTCTCTCTCCTCACTCTTTTATATGCTGACTCGTCCAGCTCCGCCTCCGCTCACAGGTAACGTGACCTGACCTGACCATGGCTAATTGAGCCTGGGTTACCACGGCGACCGCACCGAACAACGACAGGACTTAAGGTGTTTTTGGCGTCTCTCTCACACACACACGCTGAGTCAGCTGTGGTGAGGTCACACTGACGAACGCCACCGATTGGTTCACAGCTTCGCAGGTTTATAAAAGACCCTGATGACTGAAACAGCTTCAGCTCTGATAAAAGGGTTACTGATGACAGGAGCTGCGGTCAGCCGACCATTGTCTCCCGCCGGTTCTCATCGGCTGACTCAGACGCCACAGAGATCCTCGTGAACCCTCTGGACTCAGACCAGATCCTGTCCCGTCCTCGCTCTGCTGTTTTTAACTCCCCGGGTGTGTCAGACAAGAAGTACGAATACGGCTGGGCACTAAATCAGTTTATTATGGGATCGATATCATAAACGTTCTGCCTCAGATCTGGTTACTGTTTGTTCTGAGCAGAAAGAAAAGTTTAAAACCACAAAGACATTTTTGGCCCTACAGCTCTGCCGTACAGTAAACCAACCCACCCTGATCAGAACGTTTCTCTGCCGCAGAGTTCCTGTAAAGAGAAGAACTGATATCTTCAGCTAAAGGTCGATAGCAGCCTGCGTGTCGGCCTGCGAGCCCTGCACACAGACTGGCAGGCAGGCTGACGAGGAGGAGGGGGAGGAAGGCACTGACCTCTCTGGCGTTCTCCCTCAGCTGCTGCTCGGCCTTCATCACGGCGTTGATGGCGTCCTCCAGCTGCTCCTGGGCCAGACGGCACTGCTGGAACCCGCTCGCCGAGGCCTCCACCGACGGCATCCTGGACAGGAAACAAGAAGGGCACGGCGTCACAAAGCCAGACTGAAGCTGAAGCACAGAAACAGCAGCCTGACCCTGTCAGCTGAGCAGCCCAACGGAAAATACCAGATGTACCGTTTAATAAATGTGGTATTAGGGGTTTTACTGAACGATCAATAATCCTCTTATGAAGAACTTTCCCTTCAGTCTCACTTCTGCTGCTCTTTCATCAGTGCGATTCCTCGCAGATGTTGAAACTAACGCTCTCTTGTGGTTCCTCCACCGACGCCACTCTCTTTCCTGCACTTCTGCTTTCCTTTCTTCACCGTTTCCTCCCTCAGTGAAAGATCAGCTGAGTCAACAACGCTCAGCTAAACGCTCCTCAGCAAGTAAAACGTGATGTAAATAAGCCGTCTGACAGTCGTCCTGTGTTGATGTCTTATAACGTGATAGTTTGTTTTCTCTCTCTCCACCTCTCCTGTGAAACATCTTGGGTTGGGTAAAGAAACCAGGTACCAAAATGGAACCGGTTCCTGTACAGCTGCTTCCTCCTTCAGGTGGTCATCATTGTGTTGATAGAAGCTGGTTTGGAGCGTAAGAACCCTGACCATCAGGTCTTTAGTGTTAAAGTACTGTAGGGTTTATATATTATTACATCATCAACTTGTTGTGTTTTGTATTTATATTTAATTTAAAGACGTTTAAACATAAAAATCCACCGAGAGTCACATCACTTCTGTGTTTCTGTTTTTCTGTCCACCCTCCGCCTGACTCAGCTGACCACGGACCAGCCGTGCAGGCTGACCTCCTCCATTGTGCTCTGGGATTAAACCAGTCAGACCACCAAACTATTAATACACACAACACGTACAGAGTACACACACGGAGCAGTACTTTTACACAAAGTGGAGTACCTTTAGACTCTGGGGACACTTCCACACTACGGTGCAGTACTTTAAAAAGTGTAGTTTCAGAGGAGTGTGGAGTACTTTCAGGTACAGGGAAGTACTTTCACTTTACTTTATTCTGAAATGGTATCGTGGCCTCAGGGCGCGGCGCCGCTGCAGTATCAGCAGGAAACAGTCAGCAGGCGGCCGAGCGAGCCGCCGATAAGAACGTGTCATCTTTAGTTAAAGGGCTGAAAATATCAGAGCAGCGAAGCGTCGGTCCAGAACCAGAACGGTCCAGTTTAACATCATTAAGACTGAGAAACCAGAACCAGTACAAACCTGACAGCACGCAGTATTCTGTTCTAAATACTCTGGTATACTGTAGTATTTGAGGATTGTGTCCATTATTATTAGTAGTATTTATCATGACACTTCTGTAAATACTGCACGTCCACACTACTTTAGATGTGTATATTTTATACTTTTTAAAACAGATCCAGGTACTTTATCGTCTCTGAATATAAAGCTGTTGAACGTGGCAGCTTTAAAACCGTATCTAAACACTCTGCATTGTTTCCTGTCTGTACGTTTTGATGAGCGTGCAGGAGAGCGGCGATGCTCCCCGCTGGAAGCTGCTGACACATGCAGATTTCTAAAGGTGTCACACAAAGACGACCTCTGAGCGCTGAAGATAAACTGTAATCAAGGAGCCGTCTGTTAACTCTCCAGCTCCACGGGGAAAACAAAACAGAAATATTAAAACGGGTTAGACGGCAGCAAGTCAGCTGTCCGTACCTGCTCAGGACGACCAGTGAGCTGTCAGAGAAAAAGGCCCGTTATAAAGTCGACGTCTTGTTCTGTCCTGACAGAGTTTCAGTTTACTGACACACAAAACTTGAAGCGTAAAGAAACGATCCAACTGGCTGAAATATAATCAGGTCTGAACTGGGTCTAATGTTTCCTTCTGTTCGCCTTAATGTCAACGCTAAATACATTTACTCCAGCACTGAGGTACTTGTACTGTGCTCGAGTATTTTCCTAATTGTACCCTGCGCTGTATGAGCGTTAAATTCACAGATAAATTCATGACGCCGCTCCTGTGTACTGTGTGTGTACTGTGTGTGTACTGTGTGTGTACTGTGTGTAACAGAGAATGAACCTTTAAAACACATTTAAACTCCTCAAGATTCTGACCAGATAAAACTTTGATGCACATTTAACCACCTGACTGAATATAGTTAGAAAAATATCCCCATCCTCGCAGTATAATACACATGAGCACAATTTAGTATTATAACATCACCAGTTTCTTCTTTAACAAGTACTTTTACTGTAGATATTTAAAAAGTACGTGTTACTGTAACTTTTACTTAGGTTAGGACTTGACTGAAGGATTTCTACTGATAAAAAGGAGTATTTTTACACCATTGTAGTACTTCTGCGTGAGTCATGGATCCGAGTGAGGCCAATAATTAACTGTCTCGTTCCTTATTCAGCGTTCTGTCTCGCGCAGGGTTTCTATAATGACACAATCTGCATAATTATACTATATATATATATATATTAACTCCACCGATCAGCGAGTAACGCAGTCGGTAACTCCCGGTTTCATACCTCATGTCAAACAGAAAAAGCTCCAGAAACCTCCGAGTTGAGCCGCTTGCAGTGAGATCAGAGCTGGTTGGTTTGTTTTGTGTGTCGGAGCTCAGAGGAATGAGGAAACTGTTCCGTCCGCCATCACCGCCTGTCGGCCCGCACGTACTTCGCCCCCCCCTCCCTCCGCAGGGGGAGGGCCCCGCAGAGGGAGGGCCCCGCAGAAGACACGCGAGCTGCTCCTTAGTCTGGCATAAACACCAATATTACATCGATTATTGATTAAGAGTGAGGCGGCGGGGCCGGTGTCTACAGCTGATTACTCTGGTTTATATTAACCGAGCGTGAACGTGACAATCAGCTGTCTCACGTCAGCTCGCCAAACTCCACGCGGCAGACTGGCTGTTTATTTCTGTTCAGGTTTGTTCGACAGGACGCAAACCGGCAGAACAACTTAACACTATCTCAAAAGGTCTGCGGTTAAACTCGGTCAACAGATATTCCACCCAGCAGCATTTCATTTTAGTAAAACACCCAACTTTGATATAAGAAGCATTATCCAAGTAACGACTGCTTCGCTCGAGTTTTACTGGAAGGAGACAGTGAGAGTGGCAAAGGAAACACATCTAACAGATAACATCTTCTTACTGGTGACATTATAAGCACGCCGAATTAAAGAGTGGGTTCTATTAATGTGTAAAATAATTAAAAAACTAATGTTACACCAAGTGAAATCTTCCCGCAGAGTAAAAATTGTAAAATGACTGCAAAATTAGAGAGAGTTTGGCCCTAAAACAGGAGGACGTAAGTAACATTTAATATAAAACTTGAGGCCTACCAGGCTGATTAAGATGATTAATATCCCTCTAAAAGCCCGTCGTTAACATGTAAACACCCATCAGCTGAGAACACACATGCTTTGTAGCTGTTACGGTTAGCAGCTAGCCTTTCTGGCCAGCTAAGCTAACTAGCTAACGTTGTCGATGTTAAAAGAGCGGTTTTCTGTGACGCAGACGGACGAACTCACCTCGTGCCTTTGCTGTGGACTCTCGACTTCGATGACATTAATAATCCAAGTTAGCTCGGTGACACGTTACTCCGTTAAACTGCTCCGTCAAAAGCAAAAGCCGGTGTTTCCCACCGGCTGGTGCCCCCAATGTCACGACCACGTCAAGGGAAAAAAATGCGTGCAGGGGTGGAGAGGTCTCGCGAGAACCTAGACCAACATCCCGTTCCAGTCAGAGCGAGAGCGAGACTGCCCCCTGCTGGTGAGACTACGGCAACCGCAGCCCGTTTCTGACACAAGTAAATATTTATCGTTTTTTGATTGTTTTATAAAATATAAATATATTTATACTATTAATACAATAAAAATACGAATACAATTAATACACATTAATGTTATAAATGTGTAAATATGATCAATATATTTGTTTTATTAATACAATACAAAATATATTCAATGTTAATACAATAAATTGTTTTCATAAAATACAATGTTATAAATATTAATGCAATACAAAATATATATTGAAAAATTAATGCAAAATGTTAATACACTAAGTTATATGCATTATACTGTTATAAATGTTATTATATATAATTATTATATATTTAAATAATGAGTTAGCATAACACAAATATATTGAATAATGTGCAAATGAGTTCACAAGCATTGTTAGAATTAGAGCACAGAGGTGTGAATGTACTGCTTGGTGATTTTCAAAGACTGAAAGTTTGTATTTAAAGAACTTTTTTGGATCAGTAATCTCGCAGGCCTGCTCTCTGTTTTGTTAACAATAAAATCAGATCAATGTCAAAAAAGATGGGTTTTAAAAAGTACACGTTCCTAACAAAGGGAGCACTGAGATGAACAGCCAATGAAATTGGTATTGTAAATCTGAATGTATGTCCACCAATATGTCGTTGGGATATACCTGCATGGTTGATCCTAGAACCCATTGTTCACTTATATTTTATGCAAACAAGCAAAAGAAATATGTCAGAGGCCGCAGAGAAGGAGATAAACCGTCCGGATGTGTTAATTATGTTATGGGGAGGCCATTTACAAATGTATACTGACGGGTCAAAGGCTGCAGAGAGCGGTAAAGTGGGTTTTGGTGTTAGCAGACCTGAAACAGGTTATAAAAAGGGTGTAGGATTCCAGTCCACATGTCAGTCTCCACAGCTGGTGGCAGTTCTCTGGACATTAAGCTGGGTTGAAGATAACAAACAGGAGCGGCAACTCTAATTACAATTCAAGATACTAAAACTAAGGCCAGGCCTGATTTACTTGTGGAAATTATGCAGGTGTTCACAGAATTCACAAAGCAGGGTGTGAGGTGGGGTTTCTGTGGGTCCACATGGGCGTGGAGGGTAATGAGGAGACGGCAACGAGGAGTTCAAATGAATGTACAGTATGGATCACCAGATTACACAGAAATAATAAAGAGGTCAGTAATCATGGGAACATGAAAGCAAGGGGAGGGTCAGTACAAAGAACTGCAGAGAAAGAAAAATGTGCTTTTATCTGTAAGAGAAGAGACGCAGTAGTTTTATCCAGACTGAGGTTTGGGCACTGTGGGAAGCATGTGTTAGTTCACTGCAGAAAGTCTCGTCACAGAAGCAAACTGTTCACAGACCTGCGAGCTCTCAGTTAACTTGGATAGTTGGGACAAAATGAAAAAAAACAGGATTATAAAAAGGATCCAGGCAATCAGCATTAATCAAGACGTCAATAACGAACAGCGGAGGGCAGCAACACGTGCGTCTATTCTGCCGGAAACAACAACAAGAAGACGGACAGCCGATCAGATGATCACGTCGTCTACGCCAACTGTGACGTCATCGCGCCCGCTGCGTGCAGCGCAGGGAGGCGGAGTCAGAGGTGCTGCTGTTTGTGTGATGTAGATTTTAGAGACCGAATCAACGGATTATTTGTTCTTTCTGCGGAGATTAAACTCCGTCCGTCCGCCGAGAGAACATTCACACACCGGACACCGGCCCGGGACAAACACGGCACACCGCCAGGGGATCTGCCGCCGCGGGGGAAAATGTCTGCGTGCTCCGGGAACAGAAACACGAACACGGAACCGTGGGGAAGCTTCGATGACAACCTCATCCAGGTGAGCTAACGTGCTAACTGACCAGCTAACGGGAGAACTAACCCCTCTGCTAACGTGCTAACTGACCAGCTAACGGGAGAACTAACCCCTCTGCTAACGTGCTAACTGACCAGCTAACGGGAGAACTAACCCCTCTGCTAACGTGCTAACTGACCAGCTAACGGGAGAACTAACCCCTCTGCTAACGTGCTAACTGACCAGCTAACGGGAGAACTAACCCCTCTGCTAACGTGCTAACTGACCAGCTAACGGGAGAACTAACCCCTCTGCTAACGTGCTAACTGACCAGCTAACGGGAGAACTAACCCCTCTGCTAACGGGAGAACTAACCCCTCTGCTAACGTGCTAAGTGACCAGCTAACGGGAGAACTAACCCCTCTGCTAACGTGCTAATCAGGAAAGCCGAGCTAACTTACCAACAGGCTGCTAACTAGCTTAGCTAAGATAACCCACCAAGCTAACGTGAAGCTGACAACCAGTGCTAACACAACATGCTAACATGCTAACAGGCTCTCTGAGCTGTGAGTGTTGAAAACTACAGGAAGTGTTCTGACAGGTAAACACACCTGAGTGACGTCATGTCACGCAAGAAGTATTTAGATATTTCACTCAAGTGCCAATACAACGATGAAAAGTACTGAGATTCAAGTAAATTTCCTACATTCATAACTGAAGTACAGCAGTAAAAGTACACAAGTACTCTGAGCTTTGTGTAGTTAAGTATCAGCAGTAAAAGTACATGTTCTCATGTTCTTGCACGTTGGTTGATGTATTGATTCAGGGCGGCGGCTCGGCCGTCGTGGACATGGAGAACATGGACGACACGTCGGGCTCCAGCTTCGAGGACATGGGGGAGATGCACCAGAGGATGAAGGAGGAGGAGGAGGTGGCGGCTGAGGCGGCCGCAACCGAGGACGACAACGCCGAGGACGGAGAGTTTCTGGGCATGAAGGGGTTAAAGGGTCAGCTGGGCCGACAGGTGGCTGATGAGGTGAGTCCAGATCCCAGGTTCTGAGAGACTCAATGGGACATTTCCTGTTTAAATAAAGGTTATATATATTTTAGGGCTGGAGCGATTCGTGGGATTATCCCGGACAAGCTCCGCCTACAAGGCCGCGCCTTCGACCGTCTAAAGTTTGGAGTATTTCACACTCAACAACGTGCGGCTCCGTGAGCTCTGTGAACTGGAAACAGCTTCACTGCAGCACAACTGCTGTCCACGAATACGTGAAGCAGCACGAACACGTGAAACCAAAGTATGCCGCAGCACTGTGTCTAGGCGGCAGCACCGCAAATTGTGTTTACTTTCTGTCGCCACACGAGCACGACACATTATCAGCACGAGGAGACGTAGTGTTTCTTCATCGCCTTCATGTTAAAAGTAATTTCTGCCCCGCTGCTGTCATAGTAACGTAATGTTACACCGCGAGTCATGTAACGATCGGCTGTTCCATATTTTCTGTTTATTTAACGGCCACGTATGAGCGAGACAATCTGCGACTGTCTGTACAGTCTGAGTCCTTTCAGGTGTTCGCTGATGCAGAAATACATTTTATCATACTGCATTACTTAATATTGAAATGAATCCATGTCAGAAACATCATTTAGTTTTAAATAAAGTAGCCTAATTAATGTCTGTTATTGTTATCATCACAACACATCAGTGACGTGGAAATTTGATTCATTGTAAGATTTGCTGCTATTCTCATTATTCTAATGTGCTTCATCAGGATGAGTGAATAAAATATAGATTTATTGATTAGACATGTCATTGATATTTATTTTGGATAAATTGGTATGTTAATCGAGTAATAGGCAACTTTTCTTTCTTTAGAATAAATAAAATTAGTCAGATTAATCGACTTGAAAATTTTATATATATATTAGTATAAGTTTAGGACTGGTTAGCTGGACCTGTTTAGGACTGGTTAGCTGGACCTGTTTAGGACTGGTTAGCTGGACCTGTTTAGGACTGGTTAGCTGGACCTGTTTAGGACTGGTTAGCTGGACCTGTTTTGGACTGGTTAGCTGGACCTGTTTTGGACTGGTTAGCTGGATTAGTTAGCTGGACTAGTTTAGGACTGGTTAGCTGGACTGGTTTAGGACTGGTTAGCTGGACCTGTTTTGGACAGGTTAGCGCTACTTTTGGACTGGTTTAGGACTGGTTAGCTGGACTAGTTAGCTGGATTAGTTAGCTGGACTTGTTTTGGACAGGTTACCTGGACTGGTTTAGGACTAGTTAGCTGGACTTGTTTTGTACAGGTTAGCGCTACTTTTGGACTGGTTAGCTGGACTAGTTTAGGACTAGTTAGCTGGACTAGTTAGCTGGACTTGTTTTGGACAGGTTAGCGCTACTTTTGGACTGGTTAGCTGGACTTGTTTTGGACAGGTTAGCGCTACTTTTGGACTGGTTAGCCGGACTAGTTTGGGACTGGTTAGCGCTACTTTTGGACTGGTTAGCTGGACTGGTTAGCTGGACCTGTTTTGGACAGGTTAGCTGGACTTGTTTTGGACAGGTTAGCTGGACTAGTTTAGGACTGGTTAGCTGGACTAGTTTAGGACTGGTTAGCTGGACTAGTTTAGGACTGGTTAGTTGGACTTGTTTTGGACAGGTTAGCTGGACTAGCTTAGGACTGGTTAGCTGGACTAGTTAGCTGGACTTGTTTTGGACTGGTTAGCTGGACTTGTTTTGGACTGGTTAGCTGGACTTGTTTTGTACAGGTTAGCGCTACTTTTGGACTGGTTAGCTGGACTAGTTTAGGACTAGTTAGCTGGACTAGTTAGCTGGACTTGTTTTGTACAGGTTAGCGCTACTTTTGGACTGGTTAGCTGGACTAGTTTGGGACTGGTTAGCGATACTTTTGGACTGGTTAGCCGGACTAGTTTGGGACTGGTTAGCGCTACTTTTGGACTGGTTTGTCGGACTAGTTTGGGACTGGTTAGCTGGACTGGTTTTAGACAGGTTAGCGCTACTTTTGGACTGGTTAGCTGGACTAGTTAGCTGGACTTGTTTTGTACAGGTTAGCGCTACTTTTGGACTGGTTAGCTGGACTGGTTAGC